TTCCTAAATCCGTGTTGGCTGGGCCTGATCCTCTGATTGTGTTTTACCTGCCACTTCATGGCACTCAGGATGATCTGCTCCATAACCTTGCCAGGCACTGAGGTCAGACTGACAGTCCTATAGTTCCCTGGATCCTCCTTTGGCCTCTTATGGATGGGCATCACGTTGGCCAACATCCAGTCATCTGGGACCTCCCTTTGTTCTACCTTGTCCTCAAGATACTGTTCAAAGAAGTCCATCAAGGACACTGAGGCATGAGTGTTCTTCAGGGAGAAGGAAGATGTGTTTGACAGCCTTTAGATAAATGTTTTACTTGTTCGTGCTGTTCTGCACAATCTTACTGGTCAGTGACTTATAAACCAGTGACTTCATCTTCATTTGGAATTCTGCTTTATCATCATAATTTCTGAAGGGCCTAGTGAGCAGAGTGGCCCTTAGGCTATAAAACCAGTAGATCTTCTGGCAGGATCACCTGAGTCTTCATAATTATCTCTTGAACAAACATTTTAAATTCTTGAACAAATGTTTGAAAAGTGGTACTTATGTCAAGTAGACAACTTCCATTTCTCTTTCGAAATATAAATACTTATTTTTTTAAAGTACAGCTTTTTAAACCTCATTAAAGTTGTGTTTATGAATGCAACATTTACTTTTTAGGGAGATTGACTAAATATGCTGAAGTGTGCTGTTATTCTGTCATTCATTCTTTATATTAGCCAAAGCACCACCATACTCAAAAAAATGTATTTAGAGTATTTGTTTCTTAGACCATTGCTAAATATCTGTAGAAGTTCAGTCATGCTCTCCATTCCACTCCATTTTCTGTGCATCCCTGACCATTTTCCTTTAGTGAAACAGGACATGCTCAGTGCTAGCTCTTGGCAGCCCTTCTGAAAGCAGTTAAGTTCTGGCAGCCTTTCTCCTCAATACTCACTGCAGCGTGTCTCATGCTCTTGCAGAAGTAAGCTATGAGGAAAAAGTGTGCTCCTGGTCTGGAACACTGGCTCTCTTGTCATCTGCTGTGTACCAATTCTTTATGGCCTCACTTCTAGTGTTCGTCCTAATTTACGTCATGCTCAAGCCCATTATACTTGAATTCTTGCTGCATCATCTCTCATGTTCCATCTCACCATTTTAGTTACTCTTTTTTACTTATTCTGCTAACACCTGGATGAAGGGATTTCAGAGCAATAATAGCTTGCCTCTTATGGTGCAACACACTTGCAGAATTGAAGGCACTTTATAACGCAGTAAAGAACTTTTTAATAAATAGTTTGAAGTCCCGAGGAGGTGAAGTGAATGAAGAAGATGTTAGAGCTTGGCAGAGTCTAGATCACCCCATCCCTGTTCTCTACTGTACTGTTACATATAGCTTATTTTTGCTCCAGACAGACAAAATGAAGCACTACAGCAGTGTTCTTTACTGTTCTGCTGACCAAGACATGCATGTTTGGGTTTTTTTGAAATTATTATAAATAAAGGAAAGAAAAATAGGGCAGCTGTGCTTTAACGGGCTGAGTAAAGGGCTGGGATTTAAGCATTTTCAGATCTGTCTTCTTGTGCCTCAACCAACAATTCAAGTAATTTTGGAGCAGTGATTTTACCACTGCTAGACTTCCTGTGGAAATTGGATGACAAGGAGGCTGCAGTCACAAGTTGCATTATCTTTCCATACAAGGCCCTCCTGAAGGTTTCGGGCTCCATTAGCCGAGTGAGGATGTCCTGGGGGGAAGGTAGCCAAATCAGTCAGAAATTTTCTGTACACGTGATCTTACTTTTCTTGTTATTTGCTGTCTTGCTGTCTGTCTTTGGAGCCTTCTGTATTTTAAATAGTTAGGCTTTTATTGTGGAACTCCAAGGCAGGGTATGCATAGCTTTTTATGGCCAATTTAATTCCAGTGTTTGCTAGCACACTGTGGAAATCTGACATAATGTAGATTCGTGTTTTCTTTACTTTTTCTTTTCCCGAAGTAGATAATATTGAAATATTTTGTCCTTTGCCCTGAAGGCACTCAGCCTGCCTTGTGAAGCCAGGAAGCATGTGTTATGTCTGGAACTCTTGCATTTGATATTTACTTGTGCTCCACAGGATCTGTCAGAGCCTCATTTGGTGACCGGAAAGCAGAACTGCACGGCATGTACCAGTGGCCCCACTATGATGTGTACAACCCATTCTATTTGGAGCATCGGGTTTCGCCAGATCTGATCAGGCGCTTCCAAGCAAAATCAGATAATAAGAAATTATATGGATCAGGTGAGAAGGACCACAGCCTTACTTCTCTGTCTTCTTCCCTTTCATGAGGCTTAAAGGTAAGAGGGAAAAAGCTATTGGACTCTACAGAAGCCAGGTTCGATTATCATAGAATCACAGAATCTTAGAATGATTTGGGTTGGAAGGGACCTCAAAGATCATCTAGTTCCAACCCCCCTGCCATGGCAGGGACACCTCCCACGAGATCAGGTTGCTCAGTGCTCCATCCTGCCTGGCCTTGGACACTTCCCGAGATGGAGCATCCACAGCCTCCCTGGGCAGCCTGTCCCAGTGCCTCACCACCCCCAGGGTAAAGAACTTCTGCGTTATATCTAGTCTAAACCTGTGCTCTTCTAGATTCCGCCCATTACCCCTCATCCTGTCACTACAGGCCCTTGTAAAAAGTCCCTCCCCAGCCTTCTTGTAGGCCCCCTTCAGGTACTGGAAGGCTGCTATAAGGTTTCCCCAGAGCCTCCTCTTTTTCCAGGCTAAACAAGCCTAACTCTCAGCCTGTCCTTGTAAGAGAGGTGCTCCAGCCCTCTGACCATCCTGGTAGCCCTCCTCTGGGCTTACTCCAGCAGCTCCATGTCTTTCTTGTGTTGGGGGTTCCAGAGCTGGATGCAGCACTCCAGATGGGGTCTCACAAGGGCAGAGTAGAGGGGCAGAATCACCTCCCTCGACCTGCTGGTCACACATCTCTTGATGCATTATAGCAGTTCTCAAGCTGGTCTGTGTGCCACAGATACTTCTAGGTTGGAGAATCAATCAGTGGAGCCAGCTCTGCTTGATTTCCTACTGCACTGTTACTTTCTGTCTTTGGGGGGCTTAACAAGGTGGACAGATTGGCAAAGGAAGCTGCCTCTGATCCAAAGCAGGATGCAGTACTGGAGATCCCAGCTACAAGTAATAGGAGTGAGGGAGATGGAAAAACGAAGTCAGGCAGTATGTTGAATGGAGGAATGCCTCAAGAAGTGTGTCTGTATTTTCTTTGTGTGTGTGTGTGTGTGTGTGTGTGTGTGTGTGTATATATATATATGTATGTATGTGGAGAGTGGAACAGCCACCAAAAGAAAAAGCATTCAGGAGCAGATGATAAGAATGGGTACAAAATGGGAAATGATGGTGTATGCCAGCTTTTTTGTAGTTTACTTTCGCAGGTGCAGAAACGTCACCACTTCTCATTGCATAAGTATGTTTAAGAATGGGGAGGGCTGTGAGATAGTAAAAGTTTAGATAGAAAGGGTTTGGCTACCTAGGTAAAAATTTTCATCTGTGCTGTTCAGTATCCTGTAATGAATGCTGGTTAGAGTAAAGTAGATGACTAATTGTTGCTTGCTCTAAGCGATTGCTAAGACAAACACATGCAGAAAACTCGTACGCTCAAAGAAGGGTACACAGCTCTATCGAATTGGAAGCTGACACATCGTGCATTTTTAAAGATGTTTTATTTAGAGTGGTGTAGCATGCTTGTTTTGCAGCTGGAGGAAATCTCTTAGTTTGTGTCCTGTTTTAAAAAATATTCTGAATCACCATAGAGACTGCATGAAAATACTACTTCATATATGTTTGTGGGGGTTTTTTTAGAGAACAAGACACACTTAGAATTTTAGCAGCCTTTAACACGCATGGTTTTGCTACATTTTGTAAGCACCTGTGGTGGGAGTCACATGGGTTTTATAAAACTGTCTTGAACATCTTCCCTTCAGTTCATCATCTCTTTTTCCATTTTGCTTTAAGCTAAGTAAACACTTTGCTAGGTTTTGCCTTAGTACACTTAAACATGAGAAATGCCACTTCAGTGTGTCTGGAGTACAGTTCCAAAACGCCTTCTTTGTCCAGAGTTTTTTGACAGTTTCTTTATCTTTTGTTCTTTTTTTCTTCTTCGGGAAAAGAAAGAATTATATTTTATTGTCACGTCTCACAATAAGCATAATCGGTTATTTCTTTTGATAGCCATAAAAGGGAAATAAATCCTTGGTAATGAGTGATATAATTCTACTAAGCTGTGATCAGTGAATTGTAATGGAAGTCTTCTGAAATACCGTAACAACAGCATTGCAACTAAAAGCAGTTCGTTGCATTAGGTGGTCCTAGAGGTTAAACCAAACTGCTTTCATTCATTTCAGTATGGAACAGTTTTGAAGCTGGGAGACTTGAAAAACCTCTTGAACATTACCAGAGTCAGCAAAGATTCCTGAAACAGTGGCATTAGTTCAGCTGGTGTTTTTTGCTCTTGCTACATATTACACATAGGCAACGTGCTTTAGCTCTGTATTGCTTTGAGATCAAAAGAAAACTGGTAGGATCTACTTAACCACCTCCAACTGCTGAGGAAACTACCCTTCTATAAAATAAAGATCTTGCTTTTGTCCTATAAAAGTACAAGTCATCTTAGAATTAAGACTTGCTGTGTGATATCTCATGAAGGTGCGGAGTACGGTGCTTTGACGTGTGATCAGGAAGGCCAGGGACATGAGGCAAGTTTAGCAGGCAGCATGTTTTTGCCACGGGGATCTTTACCATGGAAAAATTTGAAAAAGGATGTGTTGCTAACTGGATTTAAAGACTAGGATTTTATGTTTTGCTAAAGCATCTACTGTAAAATCATTTCTTGCGAGGAAATAACTTTGAAGCGGATTCCCCATTCTACCAGTGCTACCAGTGTGGCCAAGTAAGCTTAAAACATTGCAAAGATTGAATTGATTGAGGTATTTGAATGGTTTGTTCTCCATTTTGTTGTTTCAGGAGGGTGTTTTAGGAAACAG